TTTATCTTTTTCTAATTCTCAGAACTGGAAAAAGATGAAGAGTTAGTTAAACCGAGATTAAAATTAAACTATATTGGTAGAAAGGGGCCATAATTCTTAAATTTATCTATACAATTATTGTGTTTATATAATTATATATATAATTTTATATGTATAAAATTATATATATATATAATTATATTTATTAACACTGTACTTACATACAGCGTAAGACCTACGGGCATGCACCAAAAAGGATAAATAAATGTTTTCTCTTAAAATAAATCTTCGCTGTACTAGCACATATGTTTCTTTCCTCGGTAACTCGACTCTGTCCCTCGCAACACCCTACTTTACTTTGAAACATTTCTTCAGAGATATAATCCCTTATCTAGACACATATTCGTACACACACATACACACACACACACACACACACACACACGAACACATGTTCGCAAGTGGTAACTATTGTAGGCACACGTCACCCCTTTCCTTCCTTTTTTTTGTTTTTAATACAGTCGTCTCACAGTGACTATCTCGTAATGATAAGTTCTCTCTAAGAACTCCCAAACGATATATTTCAAGCATATATTATCTGCACGATCTTATTTACATAGAAAATCGAATTTAAAAGCTAGTCAATAAATAGTCGGTGTAATATCGATAAATATATATTGTTAACATTTTACATATCATCGGTATTTACATAATTTTCTCCTCTTTTTTTTCTTTTCTTTAGAAACGTATAAATTCTAAAATGACTACATACCGAAAGGTATATACATATATTCGTTACTGACTTTATTACAAACTGTTTTAAAATATTTCTCTTGATATATAGATGCAAAATAATTAAAACCAGACGAAAAACAATATACATTCGTAATAAGCGAAACTCAAATGGAGGATTTTTATTTATCATCGAATTATAAACGTACGCATTGTACGTAATTTTTATAACCAAATAGATATTCCTGAATTACCTTCTTTTTCCTTGCGTGAGATAAAATGACAACTCTATGTGAAAGAAGATTATATACACTGTTTTTTATATTCCGATATTAATACATTGTATATATTAATGCCAGATACATATATCAGATATAAATCTTTCTTATCTCCAGTGACTTAATCATTAGATCACTAGTATAGTGCGCATTTGGAACACAATTATGCAATTGTTCGTACCGATGGAAATTTGAATTCCCTGGATTGCTTTTCAAGCTGTGCTTTAAATATATATTCCGTCTAAATATAATCTAATCTTTTATAACGTACAATAAACAGTCGTTTGGTGCTTCGTACCGAGTGGTCGTTATTTGAGACCATACGCCTGGAATCTTCTCCAGAGATGAATTTAAATTCTTTTTTTTTGTCATATATTATTTATCTACGCAACAATTTATATATATATATGATAGAAGGCTGCCAATTATTTTCAACCATATATTCTTAGAATTCTATTTACAGAATTGTTCAACAACCACTCCGTACTCAGTCAAGGCAGATCAGTGTGATTGCATATCCTACACACTAGAAAATAGTTTAATGCTTAATCATAGGTATTCTCTAGATACGGCGCCTTTTTGACTTGCGAATTCCTTCCGAACCAAGACTGTCGTCGAGCGGAATCAGGAAGAGAGGGGAAAATATTTCTTTTTAGCAATACACGTGTGCACAGCCGCGCATTCATATTTCATATTCAACCCTACTATATTTGGCTGCCTCATACGGTCGAAGGTAAAGATTGCAAACAATAGTTATCACTGAGAATGTGCAAATGTGAGATATGCATTTACCCAACAGATACCCAAGTTTTTATACACAACTGTACCTTCTTATTGTCAGGCTACTTTATGCATACATCCATATTATACTTTCATATTTTTTTCCTACGTGATACTTGTTAATCTACGCGAATATTGGAAAGCATATAAAAGGTATCAGGAATATTTTTTTGTCGTACTTTTATTAGAAATTTCTCGTGATATTAATTTTTCACGTCGCCCTTCAACTGTGCTTTTTATGCCAATTGACTCGATTTAAACATAAGAATTCTTTGTAAATTTGCATTTAATATTTGCCTATATACGAGAGAACGATCTAAAGAAAGAACTTTCTTTAGAAATTGTGAAAGCACAGTCTTGTAAACTATATATAGAAAATTTCGAATATAACGATACTCTTTCAAGAACGACTAGTTCAATTTCTTTTAGTTCATTCTAAATATCGCAGTATCCTATACTCGATATCGCAATATCCTTTTATAAGGAATTAATGAACGTGTTTAATAAATAGAATAGGAGAGCGCAGCAATTTATTTCCATGCAGCAAGCAGTATTATAAAATGAAATAGATATATGCACTTCATGTACGAACATAAAAGGTCAGTAAATAATTCCAATAACAAAATACAAGGTAATACATTTGATAAATCAATAGTAATTGTTACAAACAGATATAAGTATTTGCAAATTATTTAGATCGCGATTTTTTAAAATTCGATACCTAAAATAATCTTGTATAGAAGATAATTAATTTAAATCTGATCTTTCATTCAATTTAAAAAAATAAACTGAGTAATAAAGAGTATTCAGGCCCCCCCATTCATAGCAGACACCTCGAATAAAAGAGAATACGTAGTTTCAAAGATGAAAGTGGGGAAGTTTTAAAGAAACATAAAATGCATGTAACAATCACTTTTCACGTAACTAGATAATTCGCAGATAGTAAAATAAGGGTAAGAGTGTCATACCCTAAAATTCGCGAATTCGCAAAACTACAACCATTCATTATTCTCTTACTTTCCAAGACGTTTGATTCGAGATCGCGTGCTCAGAGATCGAGCACTAGGATTATACGGTGATTTGACTTTCTTAGCTATAGCAGAAGTGGTACCTGCTGTCGAGGGATTTATGGTAGCGCAGGTACTCACGCTTCCACTGTTACCATTTGCTTGTTTAAGTTTATTGGCTGACAACGAGGAAGACCTGACTCTACTCGATTGCAGCGATCCACCGTTCGCGGACTGCTTCAGCTTCGGTAGAGGCAATCGATTTTGCTTCACTACTCCATATTGATGAACTAATTGCGCAGATATTGTGTGTCCGGCGATATCTACGTTACGCGAACGTAGTGTTTTCACAGGTGTTGCTGCCATTGTGTCTGATCTAAATAATGTAGGAAATTACAGAGTTTAGTAAAAGTTTATGTTCTTTAAACATGTATTTAAATATCAACAAAATCATGCAATCTACATTATTCTGCACAATATGCTCCATTTATTTATAATCTTGTTATTTATATCAGCAATATTTCATTTCATAAAATAAATATTTGAATATTTATTTTATAAAACAAAATAAATATCACTTATATAAATATCACCAAGGACAATATATATATCACGTAAAAATAATTTCTTGAATAAAGAAACATAATTAAACAAACCTTAGCCATCGCTGTGGTATCGTTGAATCTGTAGGACCGATTATCGTTACTGTCCTATTTAATGTCCTTCTATTATTACAATTGTTTGTTCGATTATTTCTTCCTTGGTCCCATTCCCTTAGGCCAA